GCGCGCTGCCCGCAACGCCCGCCACCACCGCTTCGTCTACGTTCAGACGTGCTAGCTCACTGTGGTACACTGAGTAGAAGTATTTGGCAAATTCAATCGCACTTTCTTGATCCGACAATGCTACTCCATCTTTCAATATTTGTTTACGTTTAACGGTCCCTTTTTTGCCCTAATATGATCTCAAAAAGACTTAGGATCCTTTGCCAAGTTACTTTGCACACGATTCTGATAGTTTGCTATCAATAATTTTCTTAATTCGCGCCCTGCAAGCAAAAAAAGCTTTGTAATCAGCACGAGATCCGGTCGATTTATATAACTTGTGAAGTTTAGCCTTTAATTTTATATCCCTGAATAAATCACTAGTATACTACCCGGGGTAGAGTCTTTGATCTACCTTATTTTCCCGCTTTTTCGGTACACACTTATCTAAAAAACCGTAAAATATATTATAAAAAAACTCCAAAGCTTCCTCTGGTTCCTGTGTCTCGTTAATCAAACTCCAATCGGTGGAAGCTAAAAAAGAATAAAATAAGTAAAAATCAGCTTTATGAGAATTCCATTGCGGTTTAATTTGGTTTGCTGATGTCTCACGGTTTAAAGCAACGGGCTCGGCCCCTACGGGTAGCAACACCACGTTTGTTTTAAAAGATTTTTATCTTTGATTTATTTGAAAAACTCTAGAATGAGAGTACTCACTTATTGATTTTGTATGTCTTAATGTTTAAGCTGCTATGGTTTTTTTTACTATTGATATAATTCTATAATAGATAGATGAGATGCAGCTCATAATGACGGAATGGAGAATTTAAAGTAGATTATTTTCATTTATCACTCATATAATCTTAATAGTACCAAGACTAATTATAATATTTTTTAGAATATTGTTTGCGTAATTCTTATAAATAACATTAAAAAAAGAATTGTTCTGAAAAACAAAAAATAAAAAGTGAGTTTGTCAGCTCCGGCGCGCGACTGAAGTTACCTTACGAACGATTATACAATATATAGATTAGTAAATGTGGGTAAATGAACGCATTTTTATACTACTGAAAGCACGCATGATACTTTTAAAATTAAAGTTACAGCCTATATACGTCTCACTGCTGGGCACAGGCCTCCGCTTATTTCTGAGAGGGTTTTAGGGCAAAGAATTGTCCGCCGCGCTGCCCCAATGCGTGTTGGCGAACTATGCGTGCGCGTATGAAAATATATGATACATTTACTTATATTAATTATATAATTTATATTCATCAAAATATATTACATAGTCATGGAAACGTAAATTGTTTACGTTAATACTACGTTATGTAGTCATGGAAATTACACACAATTTAAAGACAAAGATTGAAAGACTGCGGTATAGTGTAGTTAAAAAAGGACAGAATATATTATTACACAACACGAGTGCGCGTCACGTTACTTTTATGTTTGTTGAAATTTGGTTCAAATTCAAATGACAAACTAATGATTTAGACAAAGACGACCTGAGTTGAGCGCCTATAGTTCGTGCCAAATCGATGGAGAAAAACGGACGTTGACCTTTCGTTCGTTTAACCAGGGGCTACAAACCTTCAATATATAGGCACTTTTTATATGTAGTATTTTCTTTATTTATAATGATTTTTTTATTATTTTTATAGTGATTTATATAATATATATTTATTAACTAATTATTAAAAAGTTATGTAAAAGATCGCGGTAGAAGAAAAATCATCTATTGTTATAAAGTAATTTATTAATTTAACAACAAAAAACATTAATTTATAACACATATAAAGATTCGACACCGCGCGACCATCGTATGGCTGTATCTCAGAGTAATTACCATATGTATGTCATTACTCTAAGGGCTGCATCATCGAGGGAACGCGTTATGATTGTACAAAAATGATAAAATAAAAAAGTCTAGAATTAATGAAATAATTATTTGATTTGTTTGATAATCAAATATTATGAATTTTATAAAGTAATAAATTTTTCGTATTGTATTAAGTTACATGACACATATAGGTTCACTATATTTAGTTTAGTTTTCTTGTGTTTTCGCGTCGTTTGGGGGTGGGGGGCATAAATTTTAATTTTTAGTTTAGATGTGTCACAGGTAAAATTGCGTGACTCCTATAAATTAAAAATAATGCAAATATAAAAATAGTGCCGTCACTCAGATCCTATATTTACCTTCGGATTGCACCATCAGAAAGGTGAAATCAACACAGTCATCTAAGTCTTCATGAACCTTTTTGAAAATGAAATAATACTAGTTTTTACGGAATTTATCGCGTATATTTAACTTTTTAAATACCCGACGTTTCGAACGCTTTACAGCACTCATGGTCACGGGCGGGACTGAGATGTTCAACGTCCATATGTCATAGTTAACCGCGGTTACCATAGATTAAAATTTAACTTTTGTTCCGTGAAGTCTTGCAGTTGTATGCTTGGGTTGGGATTTAATTTTATTTATTATAGGATCCCAAGCAGATGGTAGCACCCAGCCATCTTCTCTATTGAAATTAGGATGTTTTTTGATTTCAATAGCCTCGCGAATCATCCTTGGAAGGAATCGGTGTTCTTTAGCGAGGATTTGCGGTCTATCAAATCTGATGTAGTGACGGGGGCGATCCTGTACGTGTTCACAGACTGCAGACTTCCCGGAGCGTCGATTCTTTACATCAGCTATATGTTCTTTAACACGGGTTTTTAAAAAGTTAAATATACGCGATAAATTCCGTAAAAACTGGTATTATTTCAATGTGTAGTGGTCGCGTAAATATAAAAAATCATTTTTGAAAATGAGTTGAAAAAAGCACGATAGTTCTACGTAACATCACTGAGAATCTTTACCAACCTTCTGAGGGACAATCAATCGTAATAATTCAATCATGAGGAAGGCGACATCATCACAGTCACCTTTGTCTCCATCCTCCGTCAAATAAAGTTCTCTAAATATGTAAAATAATAAAAAACTTAAAGAGCATAGAAATAATGTATCTAAGAAATAATATGGTGATGTGAGTGATAAATAAGTACTTACTAGTAATTTAAACGAACTGAAGCTAGCGGATTACGGTACGCCCGAAAAACTCCTTGGAGTGCCGTCAGTTAAAAATTTCAACTTAGATCAAAGATTCATATTCACGAGGACGGTGCGTTTTTGAATGTACATCAGTTCAACTGATCATTCTAACTGGCCGTGTGTGGCGACCATAAGAGGGAAAAGTCAGAATTAATATATTTTTGTCACTTTCTTCGTATAGCCTAAAGTTTATTTGGCCTAAACGTTGTTTGTGCTTACTCAATTAACTTAATCAATTGTTTTTCTTTACTATATGATTTCAGCTATTTAAAATAACATTTAAATTTACGTCTGCTCTATGCGACTAAATCAATGGTTGGTAAAATTAATATTATTTGTATAATGATAATATATCATGTATTAGAATTGTTTATCTTAGCATTTTCTTGTTGATTGTCACGTTTCTATAAAATAAAACCTCTATTAATTTTTCTAATACTATTTATTTAAAACTTATGTATGTATATGTTTTAAATTTCACTATGGTTGCAGAGCAAAAAAAAATGTGTGTAATTTACACGCTGTAGAAATGTAACCTTAAAATGAGATGAAATATAAAATGAAAATATTTCACAGCAAATGATCATTTAATATGATCATTTTCAACCACAAGTGCGGCAATTTTTTTTTGATAAATGTTTAATTTTATAGCAAATAAATGTGACAGTCCTTATTTTTGTACTAGTAGAGGTAAAATTTCTAATTCTTTGTTAGAGAATGAAAGAAATGAAAGAAAAAAGAGAATAATTATTTGTAAATTCATTATATCATTAAATTCAAGAAAAGACAATTAATAACCCAATAATAAATGTAAATTTTTGTCGCTTGCACATGTGTAACGAGACAGCGTACATTGAATAAACAGACTCAACGTATAATTTTAACCTGTTTTATTTATTCTATTCAATCTCCAATCCAATATTTTAAGCGGAATACCTAATAAAACTGCTATATAGATAAAATATAGTAAAATTAGGTAGGCGGGTACCTAATTAGGTAGGTATTAGTACCTACCTTCCCAAACCTTTGTTTCCATCACGATTAATTAGGTCAAGCCGCGGGACGCAACTAGTTTTGTAAAGTAGTAATTATTATATTTTGTATCTTTGTATAGAAAATAAATCATTACGAACGGTATAGATAAAATATAATATTATGATATAATATCATCTATATATTACATTTTAGCGAGTAGTGGTTCAGACAGCCTCGTATGTATTTTAAGTATAACAAAGGAACTGCCTTACTTTAGATATGGTATTTATTTTACTTATGCCTGTGTTCAGTATATATAAAGGTACTATGTGGAATTTTGGCGGGAACTTGGCCGTCGACGGATTCTTGCTCGTTTAATCGATTAAATAATAGTTTGAAGTGGATTTTGATGCGAATTTTATTATTTAGTGTCTGCGCATGTGAAATATTAGAAAAAACGAGGAAAAAAGTGCTTCAATGTTGATATAAACCTCAAGTTATTTTGATCGCTTAGGTGCCTTTATGAACTTGGGGACTGTTCGTTGAGTTGAGCTGTTGTTGAAACCTTCCAAAAACTTCGCAATGTGATGCTCAGGATATTGTGAAGAGAGAAAATGTATAAAAACCAGGATTCCGAATGAAATGAAGACATTGCTGAAAAGATAAGCATCCAAGCCAAAAATTTTATAAAAAAGGTACCCTCATACTCTGTGGTATTGACGTGTCTCGTCAGCCGGTTTGACGTTTGACATGTCGACGTTACTGTTGGCGTGAATCGCTTGAGAATATTTTGTTTTAAAAATCTGTAAATACTAATTGAAATTGGGAGAAAATGTTAACAAAATTTGAGACAAAATCAGCAAGGGTGAAGGGTATATCGTTTCATTCAAAGCGGCCATGGGTTCTTGCAAGCTTACACAACGGAGTGATTCAGCTATGGGATTATCGGATGTGTACGTTATTAGAGAAATTTGATGAACATGACGGCCCCGTGCGTGGCATCTGTTTCCATATTCAACAGCCCCTGTTTGTATCAGGAGGAGACGATTATAAGATCAAGGTTTGTACATAAAATTGGTGTTAAAATAGCTTTAGCAGTTTCTGAAGTTCCTATGTTAAAATCATGTTATTATGGATTTCGTGTTTTATTTTTTTTGTATAAATATGTATTAAGTGGGATATTATTTCAATTACTGTTGGACAATTTTTTTTATCTTCTATCAGCAAGATATGTTAGTTATATGGCCTTTGATTATATACCTGTCTAGATGCCACATTTTCGGTACCGAACGGCCCAAATAAAGTCTACTAAAATTGATAGACACGCTTCTCACCCACGTTAGTGTGGTTTGAATCACTGAGGTATATCATGCTCATGAAAAATAATTAATTATGCCGGTTAGTGCTGTTAAATTGTGTTGCAATTATGTAAGAAAACCGTATAATAACACCAAGATCACTTTTCATCAATAAGTTTTGTACCTAACCATTATTATTTTATGAAAACACAAGTTATTAATTCGGTTCTTTGTAGGTTAGTCTGATTAGCCAGTGTCGTCAGTTTATTACTAGGGAGTTTTGGCGAAACTATGGGAGACAAAATAAAAATATTATTACATCATCCTTCGATCAGGAGAACATTATTATTTTAAAAATTACTTTATTTATGTGATCAGTAAATAATACCTTACCTACACAAAATAAATGAAACCCATGATGTCATGCACTAAAGAGTATTTTTGTTAGTTAGTTATTTATTTATGTATATTATTTATTTTATTTTATTATTTATTATATATTTATGTATATCTATCATTTTCATTTATATATTTATGAAACTATCTAAAACTACATAAATACTAAAACTAACTACTTATATAAATACCAAAAAAATTAATAATATTATTTGATTTATAAACATGGTACATTACAGATGACAAATAGTTGTACATAGTCCACATGTTTACCACATCTGACATGTGAAAATTAAGTAACTTATTAAATCATTATTTTTATAAATAAGTAAGTCAATACAATATACATAATTAATATCAATAAAAGTACAATTTTCATGTCAATCATTATTTTTTTATAACTAGGCAAATAAAAATGGATATAAAATTTATACTTTATTTAATTTATAAAATTTATATTTAATTTTTTTGTATTTATACTTTAAATTATTTAATTATATCAAATGAGAACTTAATCTAATAGGAAATATTTAAGAGCTGGTATCACTCAGCTCGCCCCCAAGTAATGCTATATACAATAGTAGTTACGCATATTTGTGTATGTAATAAGCACATATGTGCTCTAAATCGGGCCCGTTATTTTTGTTGCAATTGTAGCACAACACTATCTAGACAGGTATATAATCAATGGGTACAGCCATACTGCATATATTGGTCTGGTTGACCAGGGAGAACTAGGCCCTCATAGAATACCAGCATAAAATAGCTTAAAACTGCAGTGTATTGTATGGTGAACGTAGAGAAGCAGAAACCATTTTTACTCGATAAGAGGCATTTAATCTTAGTTCTCAGTGGTGACAATGCATCTGTATATTGATTCCTTAATTGAGGATAAATGTAGATGTCTATAAGCCACAGTATGCATTAGGTATCAGCTGGACTGTGTGCTTTTTTGTTACCCTTAGTTTATTAAAAAAAAAATTTTTTTATAACATATTATGAAATTAGTTTGTAGTAAGTTTTTACTCATTTGATAATAGTTTTATATCTTTAAATATGTGTAAAAATCTTTCAGTCAATACATTGATTAATATGTGGCTTGTTCAATTGATTAATTAAAGGAGTGTTTATACAGGTGTGGAATTACAAGCAGCGGAGATGTCTCTTTACTTTACTTGGACATTTAGACTACATACGCACCACATTTTTTCATCATGAGTATCCATGGATCTTGAGTGCATCCGATGATCAAGTAAGTTAAGTGTAATAATATTTTAGTTTGTAGTATTTAATTATATTTAAGATTGTTGTGACAATAATATGTTATAAGTTTATTATTCTGCAATTATATATTTTTTTCAAAGAAACAGTGAAAATACAATGGTATACAATGGTAGATGCCATTGTACGCATTTATTAAGAGAGACTGAAATTAAAAAGAATAAAGCAACGAAGACATAACATGCATTAATTTTTGATAAAATATCAAGTTGGCTTTCAGGAAATAAGTTTTCAATTGTTATTATTGAATTAATTAATTTAATCCCGTGGTAACGCCAGTTAACAATCTACTTTATCAACATTACATTACTCATCGCATTGAGTTCGTCCTAAGTTTCTACTACTTTATCAACATGACTAGTGCATATTTTTGTTTCCCCTTCCTTCCTTCCCTTTCCTACCGCACGCGCTGCCGCCGAGGTGAAGAAAAGGATCTCGGCGCGCGTCATTATACTAAGTGACATTACGCCATCCGCAACGCACGGCCAGCCGTCGCGTCTTATATATATTAACCGCAAACCGCGCAGGACGAACATTAAGTTCTCCTGTTTATCTTTAATACTCACCGCATCAGACATTGTGTCTTTGTAACTCATAAAAGTGTGAGACGCCCCCGTAAGGGCAAAGGTCGAGAGTGTGGGACTTCACGAAACTGTTCCGAGAGTGCGTGTGCGTCGAACCACGTGGCGAGCTCGCTGTATAGCAGACACTCCAGGAGGAAGGCGAGGCAGCCCTCATCAGGTCAGTGCGTGCTATCCCACCTATTTATTTTCCCCTTTGCCGTATGCACCAAAATTACAGTCCACTAAATCTTTATCGAAGATACCTTAAGTTACTGGCGTCTCCATTTTAATGGTCACTTCTCGCTGGATTGACCTTGACTTTCCGCCCTTATTAGATCGTTATCGTAATAAGCGTTTATATAATTAATTATTTATATTTCAATCCGACTTCGGATTGACCCCGCCCTTATTAGAACACTAAAATAGGTCCTAATAGGTGACATCCATAGTAATTTTAAAACTATATTCATAGAATGAATAAGCATATAATTATCTATATAAATTATTTTGTTGTATGTTCACATCACGTCATCAACTTTTAACTACATCTATAGAATATACAGTTAAATTACATTTATTATTTGCATATATATTTAAGCATTATATTCGTTATAAATAACTTCATAATTATTATAAAAGTTAACAATTAAAGTTCATCGTTAACAAAACTAATATTTAATAATTCAACCGCGTAGCGAGGTCGCTTAGAGACTACCCGCTTATAATTATATTTTGCCGTATAACTTTAGCCGTAATGCCGCCTAAAAAACAAATAGCATCGAATAATAGCGATTCCTCGGATAATGAGGGCACACCTGATGCTGAGTTGGTTTTATTGTTAGCTAAACGAGATGCTTTATTTGAAATAGTGCAAAAAATATATGATATGTCCTCGGACATCCACACGAACACTTCCACGATGGAGCGTTTTCTTGATGGAAGTTCTAATATTAATGCTTTACGTATTGAGTTTAAACAGGTCTTAGATAATTATAATTCACATTTATTAAAAATAAACCCTATTGCTAAACCTGATTATAACAGCCTCATTGCGTTTGAGTCTCTTTGCGGTAGAATAAATAGGCTTTATTTACAATATTCGCAATCTAATTCACAAAGTACTAGTACACCATCTAAAGCCAGATTCACACTTCCGCCTATCGAACTTATGCCATTTTCGGGTGACATTCGCTCATGGCCTTTATTTTATGCTAGCTTTAAATCAACCGTCCATGACAACCCATCGCTCACCGACGCTGAAAAGTTATACTATTTGCTAGGTAAACTAACGGGCAAAGCCCTATCTGTATGCTCAGGTATAACTCCTTGCGCTGAAAATTATAAGATTTTATTGCAAGCACTCGTTGACAAATACGAAGACCGGCGTATGCTAGCATCTACATATATTAATCAGATGTTCGAATTTAAGCCATTGCAATCGGCCACCGCAAATAATTTTGATTTATTTACTGATAACTTTATAAGTGCAGTGCGCGCTTTACAAAACTTAAAGTTAGATAATCTCGCGGACTTAATTGTTCTTCATATCGGGCTTAAGAAGCTGGACCCGGATACCATTCGCTCCTTCGAATACAGTCATAACTCGATAGTACCTACCTTTGATGATTTAGTAAATTTTATTAAGACCCGCTCCAAAGTTTTGCAGCGCACCGATTCTAGTATAAATTCTAATAGCGCGCCAAACAATCGACGAGGTAACGATAATAATCGTCGCTGTAATAATACTTCATCGCCGAAGTATCAGGCGTACGTAAGCACGACGACTAGTTGCTCAAAGTGTCTGTGCGATAATATTGTGCATCAACACCTATTTAAGTGTGCAGACTTTAATAAAATGACGCCGCAGGAACGATTTAAATGCGTAAAGAGTAACAATGCATGTGTGAATTGTCTCAGTTTAAGTCATCGAGTGTCTAGTTGCTCTTCAAATTATAGTTGTCGAGTTTGTAAATTTAAACATCACACATTGTTGCACTTCCACCGCAGAAGCGATAATGCTTCCCCTGCGCTGGCGCATTCTCCACCGCCTCAGCCAGTTACACTGAAGTCTACAGCCCCCGCGCCCGCACACTCGCCACCCCTCACCGCAGGTGCGCGTTCAGACGTCGCGCTGTGTACTTCGTTCAAGAATGTTTCTCAACGTTCACCGCCTCCCGCGCGCGTAAGTCGTTCGCAGAGAACTGTTTTACTATCAACCGCTCAAGTCTTTGCATACGATGCTAAGGGAGAGAAACAAATTATTCGTATATTATTAGACTCCGCGGCTCAAAGCCATTTTATTACTAAAGAGTGCTGTCATCGTTTAGGCGTTCAACAACACGATACCGAATGTACTGTAGTAAAGGGATTCGGTGGAGTTGAAAAAATTGTAAAATCGAAATCGATTGATATTAAAATTTTCTCACGATTCGACTCGAATATTAACTTCAATATTTCAACGCTAGTTGTTGATCAAATCACCGACCTTTTGCCCACCGCTGTGGTAGACACATCTGTCTTATCACACTTCCATGGCATAAGACTCGCTGATGAATGTTATAGCATGCCTAATAAAATTGATGTGTTGATAGGCGCATCCCTTTTCCCGCACTTACTGTGTCCAGACGTAATTTATTCGTCTAACGACTTGTCCGGGCCCTCAGCTTTGAATACGGTATTTGGTTACGTTATTATGGGCTCAGTGCCGACACTTCAGGTAAATCATTCTTTAACGTGCTGCTCAGTTCTAGAGTCTCCTACCGTTGACAAATTAGTGCAACGATTTTGGGAGCTTGAACAGCCACCCTCCGCACCGCCCATTCAGTGTCCTTCAGACATTGAATGTGAAGAGTTTTATAAATCTTCGACATCCCGCGATTCTTTTACTGGTAGATATATTGTCGCCCTGCCATTTAAAGATGACGTTTACTCTCTCGGAGATTCTTATGAAACCTCTCGACGACGATTCATGTGCTTGGAGAGGAAACTTCAAGCCTCGCCTACATTAAGGTTAGCATATGATGACGTCATAAAGGAATACTTAGCTAATAATTATATATCCCCCGCACCGCCGTATGACTCTCATGAACCCGCTCCAATATATGTCATACCGCATCATGGAGTCTTACGCGAAGATAAGAAGTCAACGCGTCTGCGCATCGTCCTGGATGCTAGCAGTAAGACTAGCACTGGGCGATCATTAAATGATATTCTGCATTCAGGACCAAATTTGCAAGGCGACTTGTTCAATGTAATTTTAACTTTCCGCTTACATCCAATCGCTATGACAGCCGACTGTCGCCAACAATTTCTGCAAATAGTTGTTCGCGATTCTGATCGTCGTTACCAATGCTTCCTATACCGCTTCCGTCCACAAGACCCACTTGTGTTGTACCACTTCAATCGCGTGTGCTTCGGTTTAACTTCGAGTCCATACCATGCATTGCGCACGGTAAGACAGCTCATTGATGACGACGGCGCAAAGTATCCACTTGCAAGTCGTATCGCATCTACTTCGCTATATATGGACGACATCGCGTTCTCTATGCCCAGTGAATCCGAGGCCAGTGAGACCTCTCGGCAGCTGATAGACTTATTCAAGGGTGCCCAATGGGACCTGATAAAATGGCATAGCAACCGTCGATCTGTTTTAGATGACCTCCCTACTTCCCATAAAATTACAGGAGAAGTAGAGTTCGATAAATCAATGCCACATAAAATACTAGGCTTGCATTGGTCTACCGATAGTGACACCTTTTATTTTAAGATATCTGTTCCCGCTGATGTGACGTGCACTAAGCGCGCCATCTTATCTACTGTCGCCCGCCTGTGGGACATAATGGGTTTCGTTGCTCCCACAGTCGCGTACGCTAAATTGTTAATAAAGCAGCTTTGGCAACTTAATTTAGATTGGGACGACATACCACCACCGCCAATTATTAAGATGTGGAGGCAATTCTGTGCTGAATTACCAGCTCTTAATGATTTACGTATCCCGCGACATGTTGGTGTATCCAAAAACTGTACTGCGTCACTCCTGGGGTTTTCCGACGCCAGCGAGCACGCATACGGTGCCGTAGTTTACATACATGTAAAGAGCGTCAATGGTAACACCGTCCAGTTGATTTGTGCGAAGACTAAAGTCGCACCGACAAAACCACTATCTATTGCACGCCTTGAGCTTTGTGGAGCGGTTTTACTCTCAAAATTGCTTCGCAGAGTACTCGACAATTATTCTCTTGACCTTGCAATATCAGTCTATGCCTTTGTAGATTCAAAAGTAGCTCTGTACTGGATAAAGAGTTCGCCACACAAGTGGCAGACCTTTGTTGCAAACCGCGTTGTTCAGATTACCGACAATATTCGCGCTGATAACTTTTATCATGTCGCAGGTACTGAGAATCCCGCT